TGTGTGTATTTACATGACATTTTGTGTTTACGTTCATATTGTGTGTATGTGTGTGTGTTTACATGGCCAATAAGTCCTATTGTTCATGACATGGATAGTGTGACGATCCCGTCGTATACGTTAAACTCTTTGCGCCAGACACATGTGGCACTAACCTGTATACCGAGGATGGCTACGTGCGCAAGGTGATTCATAGTTAATATTTACTCAGGAATGGTGAGAACAGTCACGGGGAAGTTTAATGTGAGCGCGTTAAGAGAAAGCTTACGTAGTTAGTTCTGACCCTGCGAACGCTAAGATTAAATATCATGTTCCCAGCAGAAACTCCCGCGTTGGGCATAGCAATCAATTTTGAAAGAAATTTACATTCTTTTATTGCGCTGGGAACGTTCGAGAAAGAAGACAGAGCAGTGAGATAGGATAGAGCACACACTTACAATTCATTTTATTGCGCAGATGGCGGGATTCTATATACAGTCAAGGGCGAGGAGGTCCCACACAGACGACAAGACAAATAAGATAGCATGCGCCAGACCATCTCATTCCAATCTTTATTTAACAACTTAGCAGAAAATATATTTGTATTCATTATCCAACAGATGAACAGACAGGGAACTGACACACTCAGTTCCTGCTTTACGGATTAAAAAAGCCTCATATATTTCACGTGCACTCTGGTCCTTATATCTTACCATTACTTGGAACTCATCAAACTTCGGGGTGCACCAAAAATTCTCACAGTGACTTGCCAAACGGCTGCCCACTGCTCCGCGCATCAGGTTTGCGTGCTCCCTGAGGAGACCGTTCAGACAGCGCCTTGTCTGACTGATGTAGCATCAAACACATGATAAATAAATAATATATACAACGTCTATAATACATTCTACAAACATCTTAGCGTACTTCTTATTGCACCCGACATTGAAGATCCTTCACTGTTAACTATTTTACAAAAAAGAGATTAGCTTGTTTTTTGTTGTGAAGACAGCCTTTCTCACTTCTCAATCTCAATGCTCACAAAAATCTCATTGCTCTATCTTCTTTCTCAAACGTTCCCTGCGCTTTAAGGAAAGTAAATTTCTTTTAAAATGCAATATTAACCAGCCCAAGTAGCCACTCTTTTATAGCAATCAAGTACCCTACCACAGAGCCACACTTTTTCTTGAAACTGGTTTCCAAACAAGCCGTCGTGTTTTTGAAACCTCAAACATGGTTGTTGTGCTGGATATCCAGTCTTAAAAACATTGCATATATGTACTGCTATGATATAGCCATCGTGTTGGGTTAACGTCAGTTGCAGCTTGGTTAACACCCAGGCATTGTACAATATGCAGAAGTTGCTGCAAAAAGTCGATTGAGTTACCATAGGACGGTAAGAGCTCGTATTCACCTAGATTTACCAAAAGCAAAGGCATAAACCAATACGCAAGAAGCCCATTATTAAGGTAGTGGTGAGATGGAAAAAAGGGCTTTCAGAGTTTCGCTTCAGAATAGATTTGGAGCTCTAAACGAGATAACTAATGCTAGCGTTGACACGATGAAGAATATTTTTGCTAGTATAATTAAAGAGTGTGCAATTAAATTTAGAGGTACAGACACTAGATAGAACACTCGAAAACTATTTCCGGAGACAAAAAAAAATTCCTTAAGAGACGACAAACCATGAAAGCCTCCAATGCAACGAACAATATAGAGCTAGTCGAGCTTTCGAAGATAATAATAGGCGCAAGGTTGCCTACAGAAGAAGGTATGACATGTAGAGACTTGAGCAGGCTGTAAAATGCGGCAGAAGTCAATAAGCTGCGAAGGCAAACTTGTGCAAAGGAAAATGTAGGATGTATGCACAAAAGTGAAAGGAAAGAAATTTCGCAACCAATATGAATTGGATATTTGAGTGGCGGGGGAGCTCTACAGAGAGCTGTACAGAAGGCGTAGGAAACAGTACGATATTATGAGAAGCAATAATCGCCCAGAGAAATTCGACATGCTTCCAGTAACGATTGGAAGTTAGGGAAAGCCGTACAAGGAATGAAAAAAGCAGAGCTGCTGGTGATGATAAGGTAACAGCGGATTTCCAAAAAAGATGGCGGAGAAATTGTGTTAGAAAAACATGCTGCATTATATAAAATGTGTCTCTTGATCGGAAAAACAGCAGAATCTTGGAAGAGTGGCACCACCATTTTTGATCCATAAAAAGGAGCCGTGAAGGACTTGAAAAATTACAGGCTGATGAGCTTATGGTCCGTTCTCTACAATTCATGTACAAAAGTAATAGCTAATAAAATTAAGGAGACATTAAAATTTAACCAATCAAAGGACGAAGCGAGAGTTCTTAAAGGCTACTTAACAATAGACCATACTCATACTATCAATCACGTAGTAGAAAACTGCGCAGAACAAAACCAACTCTTATACATAATTTTCACAGATTACGAGAAGGCGTTTGACTCAGGCGAGACATAAGCAGCATTGCAGGGACTACAGAATCAGGGCGTCGACAAACTCCACATAAATACACTGGACAAAATCTACAGTAAATCCACAGCAACCATAATTCTCCATGAAAAAAGCGACAGTATCCCAATAACAAAGAATGTAAGGCCGGTAGAAACGATCCCTCCAATGCTATTCAGCTCGTGTACAGGAGGTTTTGATGACCCTAGATTGGGAAGAGTTAGGCATTGAAGTTAATAGAGAGTGCCTAAGTAACCCGCGATTCACTGAAGACATTGCCTTGATGATTAACTTAGGGGACGAATAAAGCTCATCAATACTGAACTGGACACGAAAATCCAAAGAATAGATCAAAAAAATTAATGTGCACAGAACTAAATTAATGTGCAGCAGTCTCGACGAAAAACAGCACTTCATTGTTTTCTGGTGGAGAGAGAGGCTGGAAGTTGTAAAAAAAGATAAGATTATGTTACAGGTAGTAACCATAGAGCCGTACTATGAGAGTGGAAGAATTTGAAGAATGAGGATAGAGTGGATAACATTCGGCAAACATTTTGAGATCTTGAATGGTAATCTGCCACAAACCTTCTAGTGTAAGGCATATAACAGCTGCGTCTTGCTGGTTCTTACCTATAGCAGAAACCTGCAGGCTTACAAAGAAGGTTTAGCTTAAACTGAGAATGATGCTGCGAGTGGTGAAAAAAAATGATTAGTGTAACCTTAAGAGACAATAAAAGAGTGAAATGGGTCAGGGAACAAACTGGGATTAAGGATATCGCACTCAAAATCAAGAAAAAATGGACATGGGCATGGCACGTAGCTCGTAGGCAGGATAAACAGTGGTCCATAAGGGTAACTAACTGAGTGTCCAGAGAAGGCAAAGGCATCAAGGGGAGACAGAAAATTAGGTGGGCCGATGAGAATAAAAGATTCGCAGGTATGACGTGGCAGTCGAAAGCACAAGACCGGGTTTATTGGCGGATCATGAGAGAGGCCGTTGCCCTGCAATTGTCATAGTCAAGCTGATGATAGTGTAAGTAAGCGCTTTTCGCGGAAATTGATTGATGTAGCAGTGTCCAGGGCTACCATCCTCTTGAGAACACACGGTACATATCAGCTTACCGGCTCTGGGGTTCCTAGTACACAAGGTGCATTTGGCATTGTTACGAAACTGTAATAACTGGCTGTATAAAGCACAACTGACTCCTCCACGTATATATGTGTGTAAATTTGTAGATATCTTTAGTGTCACTCAGCAACGTTTTGCTTAATAAAAAATAGTACACAGTCACCTACCCGCATGATTCGCATAATATCGTTGCCAAAGTAGGTGAGATTGGCCGATTTTTCTGTTATGGACACTCAAGCCACGGTGTTGCTTTTTGGTGGAATACTCGACTGCCGAGCAGGGTGAACGAGCCAAGTCCTGGACATTTTGTCGCTTTCCTTGTGATAACGGCTGAGGGCAACGACGCCATGAAAATGAGTAAACTTGGCTGTCTGACAACAGCTTTCGCATTAAACAAAAATACCGAGTAGGTCTGTTGTTTGCGGCCAATGGTGGCGGTGCCAATCTGGGGGCACCGGCTCCACATTTTAGGTATTGTTTGCTGACGCACTACGCTTATTGCATTCATTGTATTGATGTTAATTGTATTGCATTAGAAAACTAACAATCTCCAGTTGCCAATGACAGGTAATATTGTCACCTAGAGTTAAGTTGGAATGCGTAGCAGTAAAAACACTATGAGCAAAAACCAGGATTTTTGCTGTATTAGCCTTTGTTGCACTGGCAGTGCGCCAAAACTGTTCAACACAACCGAAGAAATTTTCTGAGGCTCCTAATTAGGCGTTACGCAAGGCTCATGTGAATAGATATTGCTTATAAAGCAGTTTAAAGAAATGCAGGTTTCAATTAAAATGGGCAGTATAATGTACGTTTATGCAAGAAAAACTGTTTTGTTCTTTTTCTGTAGAAAACAGCATCAAATGGGTTTTCTGGCTTCAATGTATTTTATTTCCGCGCGAAGTTCATTTCCGTTTTGACGAATAGTTCGTGAATATACCTACTGGAGTTCAGAACTATATGACGGCTCTTGTTCAGGCTTTACTGACAAAGATACAAACTACCGACTGACCTATCGAAGATGAAACTCAGAAATTTTCAATTTGAAGCAGCTAGCCTTTCTCCTGGTTTCCATAAAGAAAAAATTGATGTAAGGTAATTAAAAAATTGTGCTCTTCAGCACTACTCAATGTTTATGAAATTTTTAATTACCTTATCACGAAGGTGCTTAACCAGCGCTTCAATAAAATCATTTTTTTGTTTCTTCTTCGTTATGCTCATGATATCAGAACATAACCACGCGCAGATTTGCTGTTTCTTGTGCAAGTGTCTTGCAAAACTAGTATTGTTCTCAGAGATGCAATAAATATCGTGAAAACATTTATGTAGAGAGGGATCATTCGTGTGTATAGGAGGAGTTTGCGCTAAAAGGTATCACTAGCATTTGCTGGAGGTGTGCACAATACTTATTCCTGCGCAGGTCCGGTCCGCCGACCAGCTAGTGTGGCTGGAAGAAGAGTGGTGTCGTTGCCAGAAATTACGCAGGAAGATCTGGATATTGCCGGACGAGCAAGTCTAACCATTGTTCGTGGAATAGACGACGCGGAAAGATCTCTGCTCAATGATGGTAATTTTGACAGCCCTCCAAATGACTTATGAGTCCATCCGGTCATCGACTGCACTATCTTCCTCACATGAAATTTTTTTGCCAGTGTTCTGAAGCAGTGCATGACAACTAAAAATAAAACTTCGCAGACGAGCATTATAATTTCTGTACGGAGTTGAAGCGTATAACCTATCGAGACAAATGAATTGTTAAGCTTAAATGAAGAAACCTCAGGAGGGGACGAAAATACCTGATTTGCGAGAAGGTCATATTGCTCAATTGCCTAAGGCACATGCTTCATTGAGCAAGAATTTATAACGGTCCAGTCTACTAATCTTCCGAGTCTGTCAGCACTGGTAAAGGGGCTTTGGAAAACAAGGGATATGAGCCCGAATCTTATGAGTGCGCTGGCTTTTTTGTTGAATACCACTGGGCCCCTAAAGCCTTGCACTCTGCTCTAGAATTGTTGATAGTGATATACTCTAGGAAGCTCCCACATACGCGATAACGAACACACGCCGATTAAATCACTAGACGATAGGTAATTCCATTTAGCTTCATCTTTCTCTAGTATGCAATATTCACATTAGGGATTTTTTCGTTTAGGATTGCACGACCGGTAATGTTAGCAGTAGCCCCGCCGCGGTGGTCTAGTGGCTAAGGTACTCGGCTGCTGACCCGCAGGGCGCGGGTTCAAATCCCGGCTGCGGCAGCTGCATTTCCGATGGAGGCGGAAATGTTGTAGGCCCGTGTGCTCAGATTTGGGTGCACGTTAAAGAACCCCAGGTGGTCTGAATTTCCGGAGCCCTCCACTACGGCGTCTCTCATAATCATATAGTGGTTTTGGGACGTTAAACCCCACATATCAATCAAATCAATGTTAGCAGTAATCTCGGCGAAGATGACAGCACTTTTTGTTCCCATAATATTACCAAAATAATATATTGTGATATTGACACTAAGTACTCTCATATCTTTCCACTTTTTAGCAGCGCACATCTTTTTAATATTTTTAGTCGGCATTCGGCCTAATATTAGGATTGCGACATAAATTATAAACGGACACGACAAAAAATATAAAGCCTTCCTAACTTCTCTGAGCGGAGACGCTTAGCGAAACAACTCTCAAGAACCCGAGACATTTTCTTTAGCTTTCGACACGCTTAATGCTTTAGCAGAACAAGAGCAAAACTGCCACATTTTCAGAGCTGTAATAAGATACAGACGCTGGAGCAAGGCATGTGCTTTCGCTCTATCTTTTCAATGATTGCGCTGTGATTTGCCCCATTAGTCACCAGATAATTCTGAATATGTGCTATAAAACGTATGATTACTCTATATGCTTCAAGATATGCTAAAGCTTTCTTGTTTCAAGTAGCGTTCAGGGTTGCCTTGAATAACGACATTTGGTTCGCACAGGTATATTTGCAAAGCGGAAATCCACCGCCGCTCAGCAGTCTGCCTTTTTCGGCTTCAAGCTCATCGTTCAGGCCCTTGGTAGGGACGGTCTCATTGGCCTCGAAGCAACGCGGGAACTGGCTCGACGGTACGTTACCTGATTGGGCAGACTCGTAAATCAACCTAACTTTTGTGTAACAGTACTATATATGTGACAGTGCCTAAATATGATACAATTTATGTAACATGCCTTTCAATACCACGCAGTCACTAGTTCGTCAGTGTGTGCTTTTCAAATGAATACGTTTTAACCACAAAATTATTCCACCGAGAAAACGAGCGTAAAGAAAGTGAAGATAGTACTGAAGAACAAGATATTTCGTTTCAATTAGGTTTCTGACAACAACTAAAGAATTTGCAATAAACTAGGAGAAAAAAGTTAATCAATCCACTTGCGGGTGTCCTGGTCACACAGAAACTTACACCCACAAAACAGTGGTAGCAAAAATCACCGAAAATGTACATAACCCGTTTCACGCATTTACGAAGAAGGAGCTTACGTGCATATACCACGTAAGGAACCACTTTCCGAAGTTTAACTTTTGCTAACAAAAACAAAACGACTGCGTTTTTAGGGCATGAGGGTGGTCATGATCACTCTATGTAGTCGTTATTTAGTGAAATTTGTGTAGTGTTAAGAAGCTGTCGTTCGCTAATTGTATTAAAATATATTAGCGGCGGCAACAACGGTGCGTGTTTACTATAATTAGGGCAATATTTTGTTGATTTGCCACTCTTCTCGTTTGCGTGTTTAGTACTTTACTGAGGTAGGGTGTTCTCCTGTGAGAGTTTGTAGATTAGTGTTGTTTGTTCTTTTACGCTAAATTTGCGATTGCAGCATACGTTGTGTGTGAGAGTAGAATAACCCAGGATAATGGTATGTTTTCTTAAAACATCATGGTTGTGTGTGAGAAATGAAATCGAACAGCGCATGTTTGTAATACAGTGAGCATGTACGCGTTGTTGATTGTTGTAGTGCCCGAATTCAGGAATTGATAATGAAGTATTCGTGAAAAACAGCAATCTAAAAGAACCGTCTTCATACATGTAGTTCATTCGAGAAACCCGCCCAGCATCGGATCAATAGCTTTTGAAAAAGTTATAAATATGAAAACCACGTCATCCCACAAGACGTGTTCGTTAAATATACGTCCATCGTATTTTTTCAAGTTACAATCTTAACTTCTGCATTATTTATCATAACAGGTTCGAGAGTGGTAATACGTGTTCCTTGTTGCCTTGTTTTTGAGCATGTTGATAACTAAGCAGTTTTCAGTAGTCGAGTAAAATATTTTGAACCGCGCTTTGATACCTATAACTATTACCTGAGTTCATTAATGAATTTTGTGGAAAAACAAACTGGTGTTAGCTGCATATAAAATACATTTAGCTCTATGATGTCTTATCGGATTTTTGTTGACATAAAGCACAAATTTCATTGGTCCAAGGATACTTCTCTGAAGAACGCCCGATATGAGCGTTCATTCGTCTGATTTTTTTCCCTTATACCCAAAGACTGCTTTTTCTGCTGAAAAATATGAGAATATCAAACAGTGTGCTTGTCCCTGATGCCATAGGATTCCAACTTTCCTAACAAAAATGCTGTAGTTAGAAAGGTTGATTGCCCTTGAAGAAGGTAAGCATATGCGAAATACTGTTTCGTACTAATTTCTCTAATATGATCTTTTGTGTAAGTGCCGCAAGATCAGTGAACGTTCTTTTACGAAAACCATATTCCGCTCTATGTACCACATTATGGAAATGTGCAAAAAATGACAAGCGCTGTACTTGCTCAATTGTTCATTAAATATTTATGCCACCTTTTACCACGAAATTGTTTTATGCTGGGGCCCACCACAACTCATTTCACATTATTGCATGAAGGAAATGAAGTTTTAAAAGAAAAAAAGAAAGGATTACAAATAAGGCTACTACAAGAAAAGCATCGTCGCCGGGTGTCAAACCTTCGACCACTGGCTCCGCAGTAAGCGGTACGGAACCCCTCGCTCACAAAGCGTGCGCTCTTCAGCTTGCTAACGGCGAGCAATTTATAGACACGCTTGGCGCTCCTCTCACCTCGGCACTAGTGAGATGGTGTGCGGTGGCGTAGAGGGTACGCTCCAGAGATCGTTGCCTCCCTCGTTGCGATGCCCGAGTGCCTCAACAGGGTGTGGCCGCTCATGCGTACGTGCGCGTATCTCCTGGTTGGGGTGCTTCATAGATATTGTGCTTCAACCGCAACTTTTCTTTGAAGTTTCTGGTTAAGAAGTACACGAAGCTCGCTCGCGGCAGCAACCGCTTTTACGAAAGGCACGCGCTTTTAACCACTTGTCACAGTTGTTCACGCTCGTCCTGCACTTGTGCGTTCGTTTCGTGCGTCTTTCTTTGTATTCGAGCAGCTCGCATTGACTTTTTCATAGAAAGACCTCCATTTCCGGCTCGAAATTTAGTTTTACTGAAAAAAAGGTGGAAGAATTTGCAGACATTGACTTTTTTTGCAAGAAACAAAAAAACGGCAATTTTAGTTCAAAAGATTCGAGGCGGTTACCTGAGGCGATCATGATGCAGTAAAGGTCCATTGGTAACTTTTTGTGCAAGAACAACGCTTCACTATCTATCATGCAACATTCTCTCTTGCGCAATCAACATAATAAAAACAGCATATACTTATATATACATTAGTACATCTTGGGTCCACCGTCAAGCACACCTTGAGGACGACGACAAACGAAATGAAGTAAGCGTAACATGTCGCATTGAAGCCCAAACGAAGTATCATGATCTCTGTCGGATTGCTGTAGGCTTTAAGAACATGCCATTCAAAATTTGACACGGGGGGCTCACGTGTTTCAGTAGAAAAAAAATAAAGGATAGGTCTTCCGTGCTGAAAACAGTTAAGTCCCCAGTTGTAACCGTTGTACTCTCCACCCTCTTAGTGCTCATTTCTTGTGTCATTTCTAATTGAAGTGCGCGCTGCAAACTTTGAGTTGCTTTCCGTTCTTCGTGTGACGTTACGATTTGTCGCTGTCAGATTAAGTTTTTCGTCCTTGAGTCAAAACAATGCATAATAAATGCTCAACTACCTCTGTGAAGGCACGTTACATTATCGGGTTATAGCGATTCCTGAGACAGATAGATCAGCCATGTTTTTTAGGTACCGCTTTCACTTTGGTGACTTGCATGTCACGTGAATACATTTCAAAGGAACAACTGTGGCTAAATGCGTGGCCCAGAAATGATGCGAGAGTGTCGATTAGATATATCACTCGTTGTAGTTGGATTTATAGAAGACCAGACAACTTCATTGTCGCATACTGGTCGAAGGAATGTTGTGTGACCAGTGTAAACAATATATACACAACAGCTGAATAACTATAGAAATAATGACTGAAAGAAAATGTTATTTATTAGGTTCGCCAAATCACGACCCGGTGGCTGTACGCCATTAGGCAAAATCTTAGTTGTTTGCACTGGTAACATTTTCAGCATTGTATTTGAAGACATTCAAGTGTTATAAGAGCATACCGAAGTCATATTCGATCAGTGTAGTCGATATTCATTTTTAACCCTTCGTATCTTCTTTGTCACAACGTATCTAAATTCCTTAAATGATTCAACAAACTATCTAGTTTCCATTGGTGTCTGATGTAAAATTTCGCCTTTTTATTTGGTCTAGTAAATACATTGATATCTAAGGTTTCCTGCAATTTTGAGTGCCTAACTGTTTTTAGGAGAATAAAGAATGCTAGGATCTTAAAAATACATCCAGAAACACAATGTATACTGTAACAGGATTTCATTCTTAAAGCACTTATAACATCAGGATGTAGTAGCTCTTACGTGAGAACTTAGTGTTTGGGCATGATGATAAGTGGGGTTTAGCGTTCCAAAACCACCATATGATTATGAGAGACGCCGTAGTGGAGAGCTCTGGAAATTTCGACCACCGGGGGTTTTTTAACCTAAACCCAAGTTTGAGTACACGGGCCCACAACATTTCCGCCTCCATCAGAAATGCAGCCACCGCAACCGTGATTTCATCCCGCGGCCTGTGGATCAGAGTGTTTGGACTTTGATACATTTATAAAAAAGTGGTTGTCGTGGGCTGGTCACGTGACTTGTAGGAATAAATGTGTGAAAGTGATCCCTGATGTCACTAATAACGGCACAAAAGTCTAGAAACCCTCGTTCTAAGTGAGTTATGAACTGGTGTATGAGAGTGACTGACGTATTTGTGAATATTTATGAAGCCTATGTAAGATTGTAAAAAATATTTTATCTACAAGAGAAGAAATAACTGTCTGCGGCTATTTACGTGCAATGCTTTTGTGTTAAGATTACCACCTAAAATCAAACTACAATGCTTTACGTTACGAAAGTCGACACTTGATTCAAAAAACAAAAATTGCACCACCTTCTACTAATGGGAACCATGTCCAGGTGCGAAGCAGCGCCCGCTAATAAAAACACTGATGGCAGCGTTGACACGGGTGCTGATTGCGGCGTCGGGCAGAAAGAAAGGGAGACTGAAAGCGTTCAGTGATAGACTGGAGTTTCTTAATGGAACTTTCCAATTGCAGATAATGGGCAGCGATATTTGCTGCCTCATTTTTGCCTGCGATAAAACAAAAGGCTCTGTCTTCTGTCTCTATTCAACACAGAGACCTGCAGTCCACTTTTAGTTAAAGGTTACAGTGAGAATGTTTTTGTCCAGAACGCACAGGAGAAAGCTGCCACCGGTACAATCTTGGAGATCAAGATCTAGTGCCTATATATACGAGGTGGTCAGTGAATGGTTGCGCCGCGCAAGCAGTCGTTTTTTTTTTCAATCCAGTTATTCTTTTTAGTGCAATAACTGTGCTAGTCGCAGTGTGTGCCCAAATGAGAGGAGGTGTATAATATCTTGAATAAAGGGTGCTCTCATGCACTGGCAGTTGTTGCCATAGTATTACGTTATGTAACAAAACAGGTGAGCCCATAGGTATTGCTGCTTCGCCAAGAGTCTTACTGAAAAGGATATAAAACAAAGAAGTCACTGAAATTTTGATAATTCATGATATTCAACGTTTCATTGAAAACCATGGCTCG